CAGATGGAGGAAGGGAAGGAGGTAGGAAAAAAAAAAAAAAAAAAAAAAAAAAAAAAAAAAAAAAAAAAAAAGAGTAGGCAGCACAGGTTAGAGCCAGAACTAACTAAGAAATACATTTATGGCAACACTTTCCCGAAAGACACCAGAAAAGGAAGGGAGATTCAACTATGGACCCTGGGATCTTTGGAACCCCCTTTTTTCCAACTGCATGAGAAAATTAACTAGATTCACAATTGCCCATAGCCACCAATCCTTTCTTTGAATGAAACCTCATGAAATAGCCCAATATATAAAACATGACATCCAAAACATGATAGCCAAAAGCAGATTTATTATTTAGTCTCACAAAAATAAAAATAAAAAAATTATCCAGTGGTTACGAGGAGTCTAGGAAAACCTGTCCCAGTAATGCCAACTTGGAGGTGAAAGGCTGACTGGGGCAGCTGAGAAGTGGGACCTTCTGTTTGGCAGGCTTCCTCTCCCTTGCCTGGTCATGGTTTTCAGGTGAGAAGAGTGTTCCTGGCCCTGCTGGGGGTTCCCATGGCCCCGAACTCACAGTCTTCTTCTGAAATTTTGACCTGTTCCGTTTGAGAGCGTAGAATTCCCTCATCAAGTCCTCCACCTCCCACTGCTCTTCCTTCAGCCTCCGGCAGCAGTGCAGGGCAGCAGGGTCAATGGGGTGAGCTTCTGTGTTGAAGATGTACCCCCCAGCCCCCAGGATGCACTCCCCATAGGGGGTGATCACTGCGTCAAAGGTAGAGCCATTGTTGTGGATGAAGTTTGTTGGGTCAAACAGAAGGTAGAGGTATTTCACAGTCTCGGCCAGGAAGAATGACTCCATGCGGTTGTCCAGCTTGTGGTCTCGCAGATCTTTGATCTGACACGTGGGGGAAGGAAGCAAGTTGGAACAGCATCACCATTTGGTAGTAAGGGGCAGACAATCCCTTAAGAGTTCCTGTTCTGCCACTAAGCAGCTGAGGGCCTGTGAGCAAATCACTGAAACTTTCAGGACTTCACTCTTTCCCAAGCCACCATCATCTCTCACCTAGATTATCTCATCAGCTTCCCAGTAGGCTCCCGGCTTCCATCCTTAGCCTTATGGTTTATTTATTTATTTACTTACTTACTTATTTACTATTTTAAAAAATAGAGATGGAGTTTCACCATGTTTACCCAGGCTGGTCTGGATTATCACATCAGTTTCCAAATTGGCTTCCAGTTTTCATCCTTAGCCCTACAGTGCATTTATTTTTGTACTATTTTAAAAAATAGAGATGGGGATCTCACCGTGTTGCCCAGGCTGGTCTCGAAATCCCAGACTCAAGCAATTCCTCCTGCCTTGGCCTCCCAAAGTGCCAGGATGACAGGCATGAGACACACACCCAGCCCCTATAGTATATTTATAGCGTAAGTCTTCCTGTCAATCTCTACCCAACACTTTCATGCAGGATAAAAATGGAGTCATGACCTGGTCCCTGCTCCCTCCCTCCCTGCCCTCACCTCTTACCTCTCTAAGAGCTCCAGCTGCTACCTTTCTGTCCTGAGCTAGCACACACTCCTGCCTCGGGCTCTTTGCATCTGTGGTTCTTTCAGCCTGGAGCACTCTTGCCTCCAGTTTTCCTCATGGCTTACTCCCTCCCTTCCTTCAAGTCTCTGCTCAAAGGCTTCCTCACCAGAAAGGTCTCCAATAACCTTCCTCTATGACAGGACAATCTCCTATCCCATTTATCCCACCTTTTTGTGACTATAAACACAGAGCTATTGTCCCTTTTAATGATGGCATAGGATTCCATTGTGAAAATGTATCACCATTTACTTAGCTACCTCCCTGGAAGGGCATTCCGGTGATTCCCAAGTTTTTGTAAACAACTGATAAGGAGTCTTTTTTTTCCCCTCCATTCAGACCCAGAGTATCGATACTTACTAACTAGGTACTGCTGTTGATGAAAACTATTGACATTGTTTTAGTAAGGAGTCTTATTTAGAGAATTTCAACTGAGTTTTCAGGCATAGATGACTAAGATTACTTGCTATAAACATTTATTTTAGCTTCTCAGAATTAGTAATGCTTTTAAACAAAACATTCTCAGTGGACTTTATCTTACATTTAAAAATATGACTCAAATATGGTCTTGATATATCAAGACTATTATTTTCTTGCCCTGTTTGACAAAGGTCAGATGCCTGTTCCCATCACCACGGAAGACCTCCAAAGGGCTTCATATTCACGGAAATGAGCCCAGCATTCCTAGGAAAACCCCAGTAGGCTTATCATTTTGGTTTTTTACACAATACGGCATATTAGAAACCAAATCATATCAGGGCTTTATTTTTCCCCCTCCACATGCAGGTCTTCTCTCTTCGCCTACACTTATCTATATTTTACTTATAGAATACAATCACATTACAAAATTTTGCAAAATAAGTTGTTTTTTTAAAATTCTAATTCAAACATACTCCAAGAGCAAAATAAGTTTTTTGTTGTAGTTTTGAATTCCATACCCCAGCCCCAACTCTGTAGGCTTTCAGGGGAATTTTCTTCCAGACCATTTTCTTCTACATCCGCAATGGCTATTTATATCTTGCCTGCTTGGGTCCTATATGGATGTGAGATGCCTCTCACCTTTGACCTTTCAATCTATTCTCCACAGAGCAGCCAGAGCGATCTTTCTAAAATACGAATCAGATCATGTCACTACTCTGCTGTAAATCCTACCAAGTCTTCATATTCCAAGGAGAAAAAAACCCAAACTCTTTCCTGTGGCTTACACAAAGCCCTGTGATCTAGCCCCTGCCTACCTCTGGGACCTTATTTCTTCCCACTTTTCTCCTTGCTTACGCCACTCCAGCCACACTGGCCTTCTGTCTACCAGATACACATTCATGGTTTTTTTCTCATTAAAATGTAAGCTCTGTGAGAGCAGGGTCACCGCTATAACCCTTGGGCTAGCAGAGTGCCTGGCATGTGAAAGACATTCAATAAATATCTGGAAGACTAAGTAGGACTGCTTTGTTAAGGAGTCCCAGGTCTGAATATAGGGCTATGGGACTCTGGATTTCCCTAACAAAACTTTTTACGAAACTCGCCTTTTCAAAGTCACCAATTCAAACAGATCAAGGATCTCTGATGTGGGAGGAATGGCAAGGGCCTGGGTCAAAATCCCGAGGAACTAATCTTAGCTCTACCTCTACTAGCTGTGAGATCTTTAGCAAGGCACTTAGCTTCTCTGTTCTTTGGTCTCCCCATCTGTAAAACACAGGCATTATGTCTATCTCCAAGGTCCCTTCTAGTGCTGATACATCAGAACTCCCAAAGCTCTACTCTTAAAGAGGCTTTTTAGCAGCAATGGGGAAATTCTTCCCAGTTCTTGGGGCCATGAAAACACTTACGGTTGCAAATCCACACTCCACCTTGCTGATTTTTTCAATGGATTCCACAGCATCTCTTCCAAGTTCTAGAAGGGTGGGATCCCCCGTGGCACGGTAGAGGTACATTGCGCTTTCAATGAGTTCTGCAAAGTCCAAAGCAGACCCTCCTCAGTCAGTGGCTGCACAGGGATGGCCTGGGGCCTCTTAGGGCAGTGAGGGACTACTCTCCTCCATAGCTTGTCCATAAGGCCCCAACTAGTAGGAACACAGGATACCTCATCCAATGCTGAATTTCAGAGCCAGTATACCCAAAGCTTGAAGCTCAGGAGAGACCAGCACATTCAGGCTGACCAGTGATTCCCACCCCAAGGGAAAGAAAGGTAGCCAGGATCTGGGGTAGAGAAGGTGGCAGAGGCTGTTCCCCGCTTCCTCCTTAGTAGCAGAATTCCTAAACTTCAGCTAAACACAGGCTGCCTGGCTGCCAACGCTAACAATTATTCTAACAGCTAGGTGGGATTAAGGATGCCATGGCGAGCCATATAGGCTCTGAACTTGAGAGAGAAAAAATTTCTATCCTAATTAAGCTACTATTTTTTTTCTGTCACTCAGAGTCTAACCTAATTCCAAAACTCAAAAGAAGAGTAAGAGCCTGGCATCATAAGGCTCTTTCTGAGATAGAGGAGGCCAAAAGATGAAGGCTAAGATAACCAAGAGCAGGCCAGGCATGGTGGTTCATGCCTGTAATCCCAGTGCTTTGGGAGGCCAAGGGGAGAGGATCGTTTGAGCCCAGGAGTTTGAGGCCAGCCTGGGCAATATAGTGAGATCTTGTCCTTACAAAAAATAAAAATAATTAGCTGGATGTGGCATGCATCTGTAGTCCTAGCTACTCAGGAGGCTGTGGTAGGAGGATCACTTGAGCCCAGCAGTTTGAGGCTGCAATGAGGTGTGAGCAAGCCCCTGCAGCACTTCAGCCTGGTTGACAGAGTGAGACCTTATCTCAAAGCAAACAAATGAACAAATAACAACAACAAACATCAAAACATCAATCTAACAAAGATGTAGTTGTCAGTTCACTGTGCCCAGAAGAAAATGATGTTTTGTCTTGCCCAACTCTGTGCCTCAACTGGAACTTGATGTTAAGACATGAGCTCTATCTTAAGATGAGTATTAGCCAACAGGAGTGGGTCCAGATGAGAATATTTATTCTAGAGAAAAGAAAATCCAGGAAAATGTGTTTATTGCTTTCAAACACCTGAAGAACTTTTGCAGAGTTGACTTCAAGGGTGACTTCGGCTCAGTATGCTTTCTATTTTATCCACCTTTTCTAAGAGAGAAGAACCCCTGTCCCCTTTCTATACCATCATCTCCCCCAATCTTCTGTTCTGTTTTCCCCTGGGCTTGATCAGTGCTTCTTTCCCTTTTGGTTTATTGCTGCAAACTCTAGTTCTTATTTTATTTAATTAATTATTTTTTGTGTGTGACAGAGTCTCGCTCTGTCACCCAGGCTGGAGTGCTGTGGCACAATCTCCACTCACTGCAACCTCCATCTCCCATGTTCAAGCAATTCTCATGCCTCAACCTCCCAAGTAGCTGGGATTACAGTCCTGGCTAATTTTTGTATTTTTAGTGGAGACAGGGTTTTGTCATATTGGCCAGGCTTGTCTCAAACTCCTGACCTCAAGTGATCCGCCTGCCTTGGCCTCCTAAAGTGCTGAAATTATAGGCGTGAGTCACTGCACCCAGCCTCCAGTTCTCATTTTAGAGAAAAGGTCCCTGCCTATCTCCCCATTTCTCTTTTACTTCCTCCTCTTCTCCCCTTACAGACCTCTAGACAATTGCTAATGTAATTGCTCATATTCTAAGTCATAGACTAGGGCACACTCACTGCTAGATGAACACATTCTGTGTGTTCAAAAGCAGAAAAGATAGCGCTCTCATAGGAGGCTTCCTCTTCTTTTCGTTGTTTTTTTTTTTTTTTTTTTGAGATGGAGTCTCACTCTGTCACCCAGGCTGGAGTGCAGTGGCACGATCTTGGCTCACTGCAACCTCCACCTCCTGGATTCAAGCAATTCTCCTGTCTCAGCCTCCCGAATAGCTAGGATTACAGGTGCCCGTGACCATGCCCGGCTAATTTCTGTATTTTTAGTAGACATGGGGTTTCGCCACAGTGTCAGGCTGGTCTCGAACTCCTGACCTCAGTTGATTCACCTGCCTTGACCTCCCAAAGTGCTGGGATTACAGACATGAGCCACTGCACTCAGCCTCTTCTGCTTCTAGCAGCTGCTGGGGCCAGAGCCCCATGCCCAGTCATGGTCCTTCTCTCCTCGTGCATGAGCTTGTTAGTTACTGCTTCACTTTCCTGTGCATCTGACCAACTCTGTAGAGCAGTGGTCCCCAACCTTTTTGGCACCAGGGACCAGTTTCATGGAAGACAATTTTTCCATGAACTGGGATTGTAGGGGATGGTTTTGGGATAATTCAAGTGCATTACATTTATTGTGTACTTTATATTATTATTACATTGTAATATACAATGAAATAATTATACAATCCACCATAATGTAGAATCTTTGAGAGCCCTGAGCTTGTTTTCCTGCAACTAGACAGCCTCATGTAGGGGTGATGGAGATATGGGAGATACTGAGAGATCATCAGGCATTAGGTTCTGATAAGGAGCATGTAACCTAGATGTCTCACATGTGCAGTTCACAATACAGTTCTTGCTCCTATAAGCATCTAATGCGGCGGCTGATCTGACAGGAGATGGAGCTCAGGCAGCAACTCGAGCGATGGGGAGCGGCTGTAAATGCAGATGAAGCTCACTCACTCACAGGCTGCTCACCACCTGCTGTGTGACCTGGTTTCTTTTTTCTTTGTTTTTTGAGATGGACTCTCTCTCTGTCACCAAGGCTGGAGTGCAGTGGTGCGATCTCGGTTCACTGCAACCTTTGTCTCCCAGGCTCAAGCGATCCTCCTGCCTCAGCCTCCTGAGTAGCTGGGATTACAGAGTGTGCCACCATGCCCGGTTAATTTTTGTATTTTTAGTAGAGATGGGGTTTCACTATGTTGGTCAGGCTGGTCTCGAACTCCTGACCTTGTGATCCACCCGCCTCGGCCTCCCAAAGCACTGGGATTACAGCCATGAGCCACTGTACCTGGCATGACCTGGTTTCTAACAGGCCACAGACTGGTATTGGTGCATGGCCTGGGAGTTGGGGATCCCTGCTCTAGAGGAAGGCGACAGCCTGAAGTTTAGATTTGGAATTAGAAGTAAAAGCCTGCAGAAGCCTTTAGGCCAGGCTCTGTGCTCCAACACTGCTGATCAGAAACATATATCAGAGTATAAGGCTCTGGCCAATCCAGTGAAAGAGTAGTCCTTCTCTCCTATTTGTCATTGTTTTGGGGTAGAAAGGATGACTCCTGGATTCTTGACAGTGGTGCCTTATTTTTATTTATTTATTTATTTATTTATAAAGGCCAGGCTCCTTGGGTTAAGTTTACATGCCTCTGTGAAACATGCAGACGACCTGTCCCTTCCTGACCTTTCCTTTTTTTCTTTTCATTTTTTTTTTTTGAGACAGAATCTCCCTCTGTTGCCC